ACTCTCACTCTCACTCTCACTCTCACTCTCACTCTCTCGCTCTCTCCTGCGCGTGTTTTAACCTCCTCTCTCTCGCTCCCCCGCGTGTTACAGCGCGTCGTTTGACTCGACGGTGCGGTTGTGGGACGTGGAGCGCGGCCACTGCAAGCACACGCTCACCAAGCACCAGGAGCCCGTCTACAGCGTAGCGTTCAGCCCCGACGGCAAGTACCTCGCCAGCGGGTCCTTCGACAAGTGCGTCTACATCTGGTCCGTACAGGTGAGTGTCGTGCGCGGCGCCCTCTGGTGGCTGTTCCTCGCTGCCGTCGCTGCCCCCGGGGGGATCTAACGAGAACTTGCGGCAGAGGGAAGCCACCGGTGCGGGCAAGAAATGTGTCTATGTGGACCGTGCCAGAATCATGTGATGCGGGTGTCCATTTCTATGGGACATCTCGTGGAATGCCCCCTATTACCAGAGTCCTGTAGACCTGGAGACCTTGAGGCTTTCAACCACCGTGCCAGGTCCTGTGTGCTGCAGTGGCTAGGTCAGTAGCCTTGTTGTAGTGTAGTGACCCGAGAAGACGAAGAAACCTATCTCTCAGCTGCTCATGCACACCCACGTCTTCGTGCATGACTCATTCGTTTCTCCGTTTCTCCATTTCTCATGTATGCTCGTTGCTTCGTGCATCGCTCATTTCTGCTTTTGTGTTTCCTTCGCAGAACGGCTCGCTAGTAAACAGTTACCGGGGCACGGGAGGCATATTTGAGGTCTGTTGGAATCATCGGGGAGACAAGGTTGGCGCCAGTGCATCAGACGGCTCGGTAAGTATACGAAACCCTTAGCGGGGGGTGGTTAGAAATTAACTAATGTTTTCCCAGGCAGCTAGTACCTGCAGGTGGGCAGCAGCAAATATATTTACCTGTACAGAATCTTTGGTGCACACAAGTCGCAAATTTATTTGCCCAGGTAGAATATTTGGTGAGTGCCGGTAGCAAATATATTCACCCAGGACAGAACATTTGGTGCGTGCCGGTAGCAAATTTGTTCACCCAGGACAGAATCTTTGGTGTGTGCAGGTAGCAAATTTGTTCAACCAGGACAGAACATTTGGTGCGTGCCGGTAGCAAATTTGTTCACCCAGGACAGAATCTTTGGTGTGTGCAGGTAGAAAATATATTTACCCTGGACAGAATCTATGATGCTTTTACTATGGTTCATTAGGAATTTCGCGACAGCGAGTATTTGCTTCCGACATTGAGAGCAAAACTGCTGCTTCCTGCCCTCAATATCGAACCCTGTAAACTTGCTTTTTTGGGAGCAAAACTGCTTCCTGCTGCCCTAAATTTCGAACTCTGCTTAGCATAATACAGTTGGAGACGGCAAATAACTCTTGATGGCAGCACGGTATGAGACTGACGGCGTAAACCCACCAAACTGAAACGCTTTCAACGTGTTCCGTGTTTTGTTCCCGGGCGTTTCGTTATCTGCTCTGTCGACGTCGCCGTCTCTCGCGCGTGCAGCGATCGGGGGCCCGTTGTCAGAAACAAAATTAGTCTTAACATTAGTCTTAACATTAACAATTTCTCCTAGACCGTCGACATCACTTTGTTTCGTATTGTTATGAGGAAATCTGCTACGATTTTTCATTCTCAACGGTCTAAGAGAAAAAGGTAATGTTAAGACTAATGTTAAAATCAATTTTGTTTCTGACAATGGTGCCTCGGGCCCGCATGCCAGTATTTCACCGGTAGGTCGATTCGACGACCCCGCACGTTACTCCGTAACCATAGCGCAGGCGACGCCAAAAAGCGATATTTCGCCCGCGATATATCTTTTGTAGGAAGTCTTAACCTTAACCCTCGCTTCTTCTTCTTTTTTTCTGTCGCCACGGCGACCCCGCAGGTGTTTGTGCTCGATCTCAGAAAGTGACCACGCACGCGACAGCGCTCGCAGTTCTTCGCAGAGGAGTGAATTCCGTACCTGACTACCTACCTCAGACTTACCAGGTACCGGCGCACGCGAGCGGGGGACGACTCGCGCGCGAAGAGCGGGGCACTGGGACGACCGCCCGAAGCCTCGAACCTCGACAACTCGTGCGCGAACGCTGAACGGTGATTGTGATCGACCCTCGTAGAGCAGCCGCGACGAAGGCTCGACCCTCGTAGAGCAGCCGCGACGAAGGCTCAACCCTCGTAGAGCAGCCGCGACGAAGGCTCAACCCTCGTAGAGCAGCCGCGACGAAGGCGCGGGCGTCGCCAAGTCGCTCGCCGGCGTAGCGCGCGCGGACGACGTTCGGACTTCAGTCGCCGCCGCGAGCGATCGGCGGGGGCGCCACCGGCATTGCTAGTCCTCGACAGCAGTGCAGCGTCCGAAGCGTCGTGCAGGAGATCCGAGAGTTCATTCGACGCTAGCGGCGAGAGAGAGAGTGTGCGTGGGAAAGCTGCCAGCACCGCAGGGGAGCGCGCGCACTATGGAGCGACCCATCGCAGATCGGCCGTGGATGGATCCGGCCTGCGTCTTCGATCGCCGTTGCCTCCCTCTAGGCGGCGTCGTTTACGGCGCGCCGTCGCTGCGGCATCGTGGTCGAGGGCGTGTCGTGCGGGGAGTGAGAGATGTAGCAGAAAGAATGGTACTGTGAGGAGAAAAGAGAGGGACAGAGACAGACAGAAAGTGAGAAAGACAGACAGTGGGGGGAGAGGGAAGGAGCGAGAGGGGGAGAGAGAGAGCATCTCTGTTGCACGTGTCGTGAAAGACGCAGCAACGCCGATCGGTTTACTAAACAGATTTCGCCGCAGTTTTCACACGGAATTTTTCTAACCAGAGACCAGCGCTCTCCGCCTTGTGGGTTTGTGTTCGTGCGTGCGTAGGCTAAAAGCAGAGACACACTTCGATCGATAGCTTGGGACTGCCTGACCCTCGTAGGAGTGTTTCTCCTATCGTGGTAGAGTCGTAAACCTTTTGTAAATAATTGTGCTCGGTCGTTGGTAGTGTAACGCTAAGTGTCGTCGTCGTCGTCGTCGAGTCGTCGCGCGACCGCGATTGATTTTAATTGCTTCCCACATTCGTTGAGCCGACGTATGAACTGTTTGTTCACTTTGTGAGTGTGCAATGTTTTATGGGATTGATTGTACAGGTTTCCGTATTTTGTGTGCAACTGTAAATGGCCCAAGTTTTGTACATTCGTTTTTGGAAGTGTAGAGCGTTGTTGGTATTGTGTAATAATAATAAATAATGACGGAGAGATGGTGACGACGTTTGCCGAACAAGACCGTGACGATGCAGACGCTGACGATGACGTGCCGACCGTGACCGTGATGTTGACGATGACGCTGACGGTGATGATGTAACCTGTTGTAATTCTGCAGAACAGAGATTCTTATATTTTGATATTTAAAACGTAGCACGTGATTTTATTTTATTTATTGACTACTTGTTATTGCTTTGTTCAGTCTTTGGCACACGCTTCAATAATCTTTCAAACCGCACATAAAAACGATACCACATCTCAACACATTACATCAGCAAATACCTACAGTGAGACACGACTGTGTAATTCTATGTAGGACACATAATGATAAACACTAGTCTACCTAGTCTGGTTTCGGTCTAGTAGATGCTCATTCACTTAACATACGTTGTCCCCCTTTGATATCCATTGTCTATATTTTGCTTGACTCCCACACTGTACTACACTGTAGTACACTGTATTACACTGTGTACTACTACCACTCCGTCTGTTATTACCCTAATTTTTGCCACAAAGTGCTGGGTCAATACTATTTTGTTTGTATTACTGTGCCCGCACACAAGCGCATGCGCGCGCGCACACACACACAAGCGCATGCACACACACAAGCGCGCGCGTTATACCTTTGCAATAAATTGCATCTACCACTACACAGCTGTCAACACTATACTGCACTATACCCCCCCCCTCCCTCCGCTTCCCACCCCACGTCCGGCCGTACGTACATCTCATACACGAAATTATGTTTGCTGCCAGCGGTCACTCAGAAGTCGCCTGCAAGCAAAACTTACTAATGTCAGGACAAAAACCTAGAACGTAACTAGAATGCGAGAACGATGCAGGTATCTATAGTATCAAGAGCTTCTTTATACGCCCTTGATAGTATCAGGAGTAAATAATCACAAATTTGATAGATCAAGAGCTAATAATGCTTATATATATATATATATAGGTAATAATAGCAAGAGCTAATAGTATATTAATATAATAATAACAATGTAATAATAATATTATCAGCTCTTGATAATATATATAGGTGTAAGTATTAGCTCCTGATAGCATCATTAGAAGAAAAGCTGATGCAGAATGAAGCTGAACAACACGATGTTTATGATTTGGGACATCTCATGGGCAGATCGGAAGCTTAGTTGAGGCTGGCTTCATTCACGACCACCAGTGTTTACAAAACAGTGACCATAGATGTATACAAACACTGAGTTTGTATATATACATATATATATATATATATATATATATCAAGAGTACATAATAGAGATATTATGTCTATAATACATAATCTCTATTATGTACTCTTGATATATATATATGTGTGTGACTGTGTGTGTGCGTGTGTGCGTGCGTGCGTGCGTGCGTGTGGTCTGACGTCACGATATAAGTTAGAGGAGCTAAAC